TATAAAGATAATCTATCAAAATGTTTGACATCTTTGCTAAATGCATCTCCATGACTTGTGTTTTATACTTACAGGCAGTCCTCACTTAGCAATGGTTCATTTAATGATGGTTCAAAGTTATGATGCCTCAGAAACGGTGCTTTATGGCCCATAAATCACTTCCAGCCATGCTCTCTCTCTCTCTCTCTCTCTCTCTCTCTCTCACACACACACACACACACACACACACACCAGTGGTCCCATGGCTGTATTTCAGGAGCTTGGCAACTGGCTCACATTTACGACCGGTTGCCAAGCACCCCGTGATCATGTGATTGCCATTTGCAATCTTCTCTGCCAGCTTCTCCAGAAAGTCAAGGCTGGGAAGGTTGCAAGTGGAGGGGATGGAAAGAAACATCTTGGCAGTGTTCAGGAAAGGAGCTCAAATCCTGAACATCTGTTCCTCCAGCCCCATGAAGGATTTCCCCTCCATCCACGGAGGGGAGGGCTAATCCTTCGGCAGGCTTTAGGAACGCTTGAGAACAAAATGACTGCCTGCTGGAAGGTTTTCAGCTCCATGCAGAGCTGAAATCATCCAAAGAGCTGCTCTGCAGGAAGGATTTCAGGTCCATGTGGAGCTGAAATCCTTCAGCAGACAGCTCTTTTGCTTCATCCGCTTAATGACCCAGGAGATTGCTTAATGACCATAACCAGGAGTGCCCGGATTGTGGTCCTTGAGCAAAGCAGTCATGTGGGCATCTTGCTTAACAATTGCTTCACTCAATGATCAAGATTCTGGTCCTAACTATGGTCATTATGCGAGGACTACTTGTATGTTAGAACTGCAGATACTCATATAACAGAAGCTATTCATACTTAAGCTATTTTTTAAACTTGCCTTTCCTGGATAAACTCCTGGGTCTTCTTTTACTAAAGTTTTCATTTCAAGAATTAACCACTACTTAAAATCCTATTACCTTCACCCACCCCAACAATATTCAGACTGTATTGTTAAAATTCCCTCAGCAGAAATTTATATATACAATATTTAAGCTGACTTGGCAATAGCAAGGATTATAACTGCACGGTGCTAATAAAAGGAAATATGTTAACTATTCTATCCATGTTTCTGAAGAAAAGGCCAGTAATTCAGTGGTTAAAATTGATATATCCCTATTAATTTCAATAGGAAAAATCTGATTTTACCTTAATATCTAGGCCTGAATAACTTGCAACTCATGCCTGTCAGCCTGTAGGAGAGTGAAGGAAGTTAACTTTATTTTTCTGCGTTATAAGTCACAGCTTTCAGAATAAAACCAACAGGTGGTCATGTATCACCTTGCATATGACATACAGTGGGCTGCTGGATTTCCTACAGTGCCATACAGACTTGAATTTCCTTATTGATCACATGCAACAATAATTCATCTTTTATTTTCCACAGGAAAAGGAACTATTTTTTTTTCATATCATCCTTTAATTCTGGTTTATTAAGAGTCCACAACCCAGATATAAAAATTCTGAAGGCATATGTGGAGTTTCCAATCTTACCTTTTTTTATCTGCTTAGCATTTAGATGTGTGGGATTATTATTACTGAACTTTATGAACTTCATATAAATAGTGAAGGTTTAATTAGTCATGTTATAGAAAATCAGGGATGCATTCAGACAATTTAGATATATTATTGCATTGCATTGCATTGCATTGCATTACATTATATTTCGATCACTGAATGATAGCCCTCGTTCAGTGATCATAATTGGGACTGGCAACTCAGTCATTAAGCAAAGAAGTCACTAAGTGAAAATCACACAACCACAACTGCACTTATGATTTTACTTCAGTTTTCCTTTGCTTCTTGCTCCTTCCTTCAGCTAAACTGGGATTTTTCTCTTTCTCTTTGAGGGCATCTTAGCTTGGGGTAAATAAGCAAGTGAAAAAAAGAGCAGAGAGATACTGCAAAGGTCATAACTGTGAGAACTGGCTAAATTGCTTTTTTAAAAAAATTTTTTCGCATAGTCGTAACTTAGGTTACTAAACGAGGCAGTTTAAATGGCAACTATCTGTATGTTATTCTATTACATTACATTATATAAAAAATTCTGGCTCTGACCTGAGAGTCATTTTGCTAAAAAAGTATATACTTACAAATTTCTGAGCTAAGAATCAATTCACTTGATACGATTCACTGTGTCAAAAATAATTTCTGTCCCTTTTTCGTTGGATGTGTGGAAAGAGCTTGTTTTCAACTAGATGCTGTTGGACTGCATCAGCTACCACACCAGTTAG